TGTCGATTACTAGCATAAAACCGAATGTGCACTATAAAGGCCATTGGAAACCTTATATAAGACAAAGAGTAATCAGACAATATTAAGAAACTGCTAACAGACAACCCTTTGTATACATATGTTCGATGATTTTTCATACAAACAGCAGAGGAACCAACCAAAAGCCCACGCAGGTGTCCCATCGAACTCCTGTTGTTGAATGAGACAGTTGCGAAGGGTTCGACTGACTATTGGGTCTCCTTGGGTTTCCGGTGTGCTTTGAAATATCAAGCTGCCCGAACGAGTTAAGAAGACGCTGGGGAAAAATGTAGTTCAGGGTGTGATAATGCCTTCCAGACGAGGTCATTAGATATATCAGCAGCTGCGTCCACTTCTTGCACCAGTTAACTGGCCGGCTTCGACAGTGGCTGGAGCCTGTTAATGGGAATAGAGAGTGAAGTCGACAGCTCAGCGCATTTTGCTCACTTTAAAAAATCCGGCGCACTTGGAGCTATCACAGTGCGTTAAAAACCCTGGCTTGTAGGGTTGCCAACTAATGGAATAACTCCAGCACGCATTTGGGTAGAGTGACTGACTGGCAGACTGAGAGACCGGCTGCAAGGGCTCATTCTTTCAATGGACTACATACCCTTCCCACTCTGTAGGATCCGAGCTGCATGTGATGATACGCCTAGGAGCGGCCACAGCTGCGCTAGCCTCCGTCATTTGTAAAAGCCCTGGCCATAAGCGTTTGATAGTGACGGCTTTTGATCGCTGTACTCAGTTATATGACAGGGTGCTTCTCTTCAAAGACTTTTGTCTTCCACCTCTCATAGACATGCCAGTCCTTCTATTGCTTAACAATTGCAAATTGTTTAACTTAGCTTGTTTCTATTAAAATAATACAATTAAGTCGAGTTGGCATAGATATCGAACCAATAAAAAACTTTAATTTTTCAGAGGCATTAAGAGGATAATATACTACTCTTTGTGAGAGTGGTTTTGCATTCGAGGTTTTTTATTATTAGTAGTCCAAACTGCAATTTTTTTATCATACTGAGAGGATAAGCAGTATTTTTAGGAGAGGAACATCTTACATCGTTTCTTCGCTTAATATCGTCTAAAAACATGCGCGAATGGTTGGTGTTAGACATCACAACAGGCTAACACTGCATCCAGTTTTGCACACAGACAAAATCCAGTATTTAACTGTAATTTCTATTTTTATAATGCCCAACTGCCTTTTGTGGTATCCATTTAGGGCTGACGCACGCTGGCATCTGGGCCGCCTGCTGCTCGTATGTTGCACAGTCTTTCGAGCCGCAGTACCGAATTTCAACACAAGGAGTTCTTCAGGGCGTCAACCATGGTTTAGGCAAAGGCGTCGGAGCTCTTATCGGTGGACCCATAGTATCTGCATTCGGTAAGATCTGAAAACATCTTTGCGCCGCAGGAACCATTTGCCTTTTTTAGTCATATTTTGTGAGATTCCCACATATCTTTTGTCTACTCGTTCAGAACATGGAGACAACCCTCTCAATATCAATAGTTATAAAAGAAGGTCGCTCCTGAAGCAAAATCGAACGAAAATTATTAAGTTATTAATCAGCACAAGCTTTTGCCATGCAGGGGATCTGGTAGACTCCTAGAGATGTTTCACTTTAAGAAACAAAACACCCCCAGTAGACCGATGTGACGACCGAGTTTCTGCCTGTCATCCCCGCTGAGTAATCGCTGGTTATCTGAATGGAACTCCCGTTGGTTACGTGAATGGTAACAGGAAACATATGCTGCGCATTTTTGTCGAAATTTTTGTAATTTTTCAAAGTCTGAGCTGAGAATCTACTTTCGTCACAGCTCGCGGTATTGACGAGGCCTATTGCCGTGACTTCATCTGGGGTCTCAGTCAACTTCAGTCTTCTGGAAACACATGATGGAACGAATTTTACACCTATGGTTATTTCTATTGTTTGATCTATGCAAGGAACGTAGCCAAGCTATACATACTGCAAAAACTTGCAGAATTATTGGGCGTTTTGTCAAAAAAGGCAAACGACCCCGTCCGTACCATTTTAACTCAAACTTGGGCACAGGGATATGCGCTAACGTGGTTATTTATTGCGGCTCTTTCGTCCGGAAGGGTGACTAACTAAACCACTGTTGTTCTATGCAGCGTTTTCAATTTTACAAAATCAATATCACCCTGTCCATCATGCACACCATCGTTCCACATGAGTTTTTTTACCTAATAGGTTCATTAATTTCCTGGGGTTTAAATTATTGGGCTAGGGTATGACAACCATACACTTACTGGCCGCGTTTACGGATTTTCATTAAAAGTTCAAGTCTTTCCTATGTTTTAATTTTCGATTGCATGCATGTACTGTCAACTTGGGCAGAATGGATTGCATTCTTATTGTTTAGTGATCATATGCATGATTGGACTCCTTGCAGGTCTGGTCAGTCGGCCTAAAATATTTATGAAGAATCGTTTATTTGCAGTGTATAGCAGATGGGTTTGACAGTTGTTGGTTCTTTTCCTAATTCTTGGTGTTTGAAAATATCGCAGCTAACTTTCCGGAATCTCAGGTATTCTTTGTTTTCCTCTGTGGATTCTATTAATTTCAACTCCGGTATTTTTTATAAAGAAACGCTTCGAAGAGGATGCAGCAATTATTAATACTGACCTCAGAGTCTATTTTTTTGACCGCACTTTCCTCAGGCAGTGGAAGTGTAATTAGTAACGGATTAGACGTCAGCGAATTGCGTACAACAATAGGAGACCGAAACATGCTTTCCAAAGAAATACAACGTCCCGAAGTACTTTCAGTTTATTTCCTGGCAAGATAAATTTTGAATTAAAAGTGGAATAAACCTCGAAAAACCGCAAATACCTGATCACATTTTTACCTGCTTACGTAAATATTGAAGGCGTCGTGGGAAACCTGGATTTTTGTCGTATGAGGCTATTTTATTATAGCCGTATGCTACTGCACTTGAGAACATGAGTTCTGTGGAGTTCTTTTTTCAACAAAACCAAGCTCTAACCTTAAAATCGTGATGGTATAATAGAACTTCAACGTGTGCTCAAAACAGTGGTAAGGTCTTTTTGAGTAGTTCTTTGTTTTCTGAGTTTGAGACAGGATGCTTGCTGTCTCGGACAAAGTAGCAAGTTTTGGGCGGTAAGCCCAAGGAGCATTTTTTCTGGGATGACAGCAGCTTTTCAAATTGTACTTTCTTAAACAATATAAAAATGCATTTTATTATAGTAAAAAAAAATAAGCTGATGGACTTCTTCTAATAAGAAGCTGTCATTATAATTGAAATCGTGCTACAGCACATCATAAATGCAAGTTATTACAAGTGATTTATCGAGTATCCAACTGACCATGCATGTACATATGAAAATATATCCATTAATGTAGGGTCAGACAGTCATGCAGTGATTTCTCGGACTGAACAGCCAAAGCAGAAGAGCAGTGTGCATTGACTACAAAAACAAGGAGTTCACAATAGAGGGTGACTAGGAGGAGTCGGGTCTTAATCGAGTTAGTAACCGGCAACCTCTTGTATTTAGGTGCTGCCACTTTGTAATGGTGTGTTAAGAATGATGCAAGTAGGAAGCAAGATTTCAAAACACAAGTTTGAATGGGAGTGATTCGTGACTGTGCAAGACGAAAAGGACAAAAACGCAAATTTCTGTGAATTAACTGCGTACAAGTATGCGAACAAAGTTGTATGTGCCTGATTCCTAACTACACCATTATTCTTCCATTAAAGGATCTGCAAACTTGTTTCGTTCCTACGGAGCTGCCTCGGCATTAATTCTCCTTGGATTTCTAGCAATGAATTACTTTGTGCCAGAGGTAATTAATCAGGAAACAAAACCTGACGTGGATGCAGCAACTAATGCAACAGGTACTGCTGCCACACCTGGGCAGCCTGGTAAGCCTATGAGCGGCGGCGAGACGACCAGCTACCTGGACGAAACTACTTATCTCGCGCCTGGGGGAACACCTTTCATACCGGCTTCACGAACAATGTCCGCCTCACGAATGAATGAATTTGCTAGAGGTAAAGATTGCGGAAATCTTTCCCAAACAGTTAAAGAAAAATTACGCAGTTAGAAAACCTCCACTACAAGCTAAATTCCATTTTCTGCCAAGTGGCCCAGCGGGAACACAACTTATTACTAACCATCGACTGGTTAGTAAGTGAATTAGCATATTGAGGTCTAGGTGACTTTAAACAAAAGCCTTTTGTCTTTGTGTTTCTCGTTTTGCGGATGAACTAGTCTGAATAGAACACAATTTTATGCTCATTTGGAATATATAACCCTCATAATTTTAGGGGTGTCCAGGATACTATCGAAAAGGTTATATTAGGAATCGGACTGGCATTCAGAAAGATAACTCACATCTTTTCATGGGCTGGATTTTAGATGTCTTGAAATATTTACAGCTTGTTTAGGCATGCTCCGAGAGGCCTTTCCCGATGTCGCAAAAGCAAGACGTCTGTTGTTATTCCTTGTTTAAGTTCCGGCGAACTTAACGCACGACCTTGGAGTAAATCCTTCGGAACAAACCTTGCCAGGCCCAGTTCGGGAATTGATATGAAGTCCATTAGCTACTGAGAAATAACTGAAAACTATTCAGTTACTGCCAATAGACAGTCGGGGGTATATAAATAAAATTCTGCACCATACTGGAAACACAGGTGCTAGGTAAAAGATCGGATGCGTAATTTTCGCCAATCTTGTGCCGGTGCATGACGCAGCCATGAGCGGTTCGGCTCGTCAGTGGGTCCCCCAGCTTTATCCGTGTTTTCTGGTGTATGAACCGTTTCAGATTATCTAATATGCATTTATTTATTTTAATAACACTTTGGTATAACATGTTCAGACTTTTGCCTAATGCATTGGTGTTTTAAATTAAAAAAACTAATCTCTTCGTAGTTCGCAGATTATCTTTAATTGCTTGCTCATATACTTGTTAGAAAAGACAAAAACCATTTTAAATTCCTTCGATCTAATCTAACAATGCATTGCCCACCCACTCATCTGCATGGTTATTCAGAATCTAAAATTTTAAGCTAATTGGTGCGTCCTCTAAAGGAATAAAAGCTCTTTATTTCTCTATAATCAGTCGCTGGAGCTGGGCTTTAAAGACCATTTCTTTATTTAGCTCTGGATTGCCGCTTTATATTCTGTCCGAAGAACGTGGTGATCTCCTTATATGTTTAACTCAATTAGATTTGTAAATACTCTCGCAAATATTAAACCTACAAATCGGACCACGGCAAACTGATAACAATAAAGCTCCTCTAAAAATTGAATAAAACAAACTATGAGAAAGCGTGCGCAAAATAATTCTTTCGAAAAGTGACTATCTTTAAAATGTAAACCTTCAAATACTTCTGAACTAATTCACATAAAAATGGTTTCTTTGTCTACGCTTCGGACTCTGTGGACTAATTGAAATGACCCCCTGTAACGATCCCAGGAAACTGAATGGGTTTGTTCGACTGAGGTGGGACTT